ATATCAGTACCCAAACTCACATTAACTTCCTAAAAAACATTTTCAAGCAAAAAGTAACATGTATAGTATATTCTTGCTTCAAAACTTTTACATCTATGACTCAAATTTTTTACCACTATTTATGAAATTCCATACAGTACTTAAATTTTTCATGACCATCTTGACATAATATTAGATCAAACTGTATTTTCAACAGTAGAATTTTAATTATGATGCTAATCCTATCAGATATCAGAGTTTAATTTATGATGCCTCATGTAATCATTATTTCAAATCAATCAATTGCAATATGCAAGACTGAAACTTTTGTGGTTTTCAGCTGTAACATATGATATTCCCTTTCCTCTGCAAAATAATTTTACTTATAAAACTATGAAACACTAAGCCATCAATTCATCATACAAGGAATTACCTGAAGCTTGTCTAGCTTATGTCCAAATCTAGCCATAAAACCTTCCCCACTCACTGGAAATGATGCAAATGAATTTAGGTTAAGGATATTCATTATAAATTTAATTTTAGCATTATTTAAATGTACAGAAACATATATATGTTGAAAGTGGTGTCTTTATACCTTGCATCTATGCATGTGTACACATAACCAATGTTCAGACTGACCTTATGTAAAATACTGATCTCAATAGCTACAATGCTTCTGAGAATGGTTTCCTTTACTTTGTCTATAGTTCTGGGATTGGTCTCATACACTTTCCCTTTTACATTCCTTACAAAATTTACCTAATTAATATTTTATAAAAATTCCCTACAAAATTTAGATCATTGGAATTTCATTTCATGGAGTTTGGGCTGGTTTTAAGTGGGATACCCTGTATAATTCATTTGAAACTTGGGATCAAATAACTGCATTATGAAATGTTGCAAAATGAAATTCATTAATAACTAGAGTATCTGCATTTATATTCAATTTATTAATTATTAGAACATTTATAACCTTAATAATGAAGTAAGTTGAAGTTCATAAGTCATTGTTTATTAGTGCTGAATAATAATAATAATAATTTTCTAAATGTCATGTTTTCTAGAACTATTTGTTTATGTAAACAACAAAATATATACATACATTAAAAACATCAAAAAATTTATCAAATAAATTTCATTAAGAAATATAAAATAAAAAAAATTAAAATGTATAGAATAAATACTAAAAATATCACTTTTGTAGCAATTTTTTCATGGCCAAACATCTACAAACTAGATTATATTTAGCTATAATCAAAATAATTATTAAATAATTAAATTATATAATTTCATTTAAATGTAGGTTGTTAGGTTACCAACTTCTGCTAAGATGAATCATAAATTAATTTTAATTTTGAATTAAATTAACTAATTTAGATTCTGAAAGAACAAACTGATCCAAACTGGGATTTTAGCCTAAAACTTCTGCTTTCCAGGCAGATTATTACTAGCTTTGTCTGAAAATATGAAGTTAAGCCATCACCTTCAAGCTAAGTTACATAAGATGATTATTTAATGTTGATTATGATCTTGCAGTGCCAATCAGACAAGATCTGGTAGTATAATTGTATAAATTACATGAATAAAATCAATAATAAAAATAAAAACAGGTATTTTATCATTTATAAAAATATATTTAATTTACATTGCTTTTGTATCATGCTTTTATACTAAATAAATTGATTTTAGGATCTCATAACCTGTAAAAGTCTCCATTCCAAGAACATGGTTGCTGACCATTATTCAAAACACAAGGTCATAAAATTTCACTTTCTTTTGTTCTTGTCACCTCAACTATGCACTGACATTGAACTCTTTCTGTTGAAAGCAACTACACTCCTTAAAATTAACCAACAAGGATCACAAGCATATGCAAATACAGTATAATAAGTATACGTAATCATGCTTTATATAAATATATAAGTTATATATTTTATATATTTATATTTAGTGATAATCTATTTCTAGAGTTCAGCTAACAGAAAATTGGAATTTTTTTGCTTATATTAATTTTTCCAGTGAACTATTGAATCAATACTTTATTTTAATTTCATAAAAATTATACTAATAAATATTTCTTCCTTTGATAATTATATTAAACAAATAAAAATTCTATTTACATTATAATATATATATATATTGTTATATTTAAAAGTTTATTTTTACTAAGTGGCTCTTCATACTTTTTGCATTAATTTAATTTTATGGTATTAAATAATATAATACTGTAGTTGTCTTTGTCCTTATATCACCTTGATTCAATTTAATTTGTAATTCTCTATGCCTCTTGTAAGAAAACTCTCAGGACTGAACTTAAACTTGTTGTGGCCCTAAGCTATAGCATAACAAGCCCTTCCCCTCCAAAACTTATATTAATTTTAATATTGAAGATAGATGAAATTAAATTTATAGAAAGAAAAATAACATATTTTTTAATAAAGATTTGAGAATTGAAGTCAATATAAAAGCATATAGAAATCTTGTTTAAAAGCTTGTTTTTAAACGAGCTTTTAAACAAGATTTCTATATGCTTTTACATGCATAAATACAAAAATAATCTTAACATAGGACAAAAGTATTTTACAAATAAACAGTATTTTTAATTCCTTTCAGCTACGTCACCTGATAAATGAATCATTCAGCATTCATTTTACTTTAAATACAAGAGTTCTGATTAGTTAAATTCAACTTTCACTTTCAACTTGACTTTTTTATACAGCTACACTTATGAAAACAAGACCAAAACAAGGATTATAAGTATTAAAAAAAGCTGAGTATCAAAATCATATATTTATGCAAGTCTGAGATCTCTAAAAGTGTAAGTTCTAAGGCCAAAAGCCTGGGTTACTTACACTTAAAATTGTTAGTGATTATAAATCCAATTTAAACTGTATATCTGGATATTGGAGATAAAGATTTTATCAAATTGAAAAGATATAAAATATTAAAAAACATGTTTTAAGTAATTTTTTTATTGTAGTAAGCCACATTTCATCAGATCTACAGTACACATGAAAACACTTTGAGTTTCTCAATAAAGCACTCACTAATTTCATCACATGCTTGATTGTTTTACATCTCATTTCTTTAAAATAAATTTTTATAATTAATCTTATTTAATGCATATTTCATCAAGACAAATTCTAATATAATTCAAGAATGACCATAACATACTTAAAAAGTAATTCATGTAAATCTTTAAATAACATGATATATTATAAGTAAGTTTTCCTATGAAAACTGTTATACGAAAGCTTTGATGAATGGATTTTTCCAAACATAATACCTGCTCAGAAAACTAATTTATCATTCATTTTAATTAATATAGTATATAGTTTAAATTTTAGTTTAAAATATCTCCCAAAAATTCATAAAACACAGCTCTATTGGAAAAATCACTTACATCAGTTAAAATAATAAAACTAAGGTACTTTTTGAGCTTCTTGGCTGATCATCACAGGTGCCAATTGCTAAAAATGACACAATAAAACAAAGACTGGAAATCAAATTTTGGATTTCCAGTCTTTTTAATTTCTAAAATTTGAAATTATTTCAAACTTCCACAAAATTCTAACACAAACAGGATGTTCATCTGTTCATATATGTATGAATTGCAAAGGCTCTATAATTCAAATTATACTTAAAATACTATATAAAAGATTACAAAAATTAAATTAAAATCTGATAGAATAAATGAAAATAGTTGTTTCAAATGATTTCAAACTTTTATGAATGTTTTTAAAATTGTAAATAAGAGCTATTTATACTGAATTTAATGTTTTTGACTTAAATTTTGGATTTTAATTGTCAATAAGGATTAATTAGCCACTGGTTACTCAGCTGAATTAATTAATTCACTGTTAGCAGCAGAAAAATTCACTTTTAATTGTCCATGACTAAAAATAGCCCATTAACCAGATTTAAAACATTAGCATTTTTTAAACTTTACCCACTATTAAAGGTGCATTGATTAATTCAGTTTTAATTGTCTGTAAATATTTGGATTATTTTATATTTTATTAACTCTGATAGAACAATTAGTGTGAAGTATGTACTTTATTCACATTTTTTAAAACAAAAATTAAAAATGCATACCTGAATAAAAATATCACTTTTGTAGCAATTTTTTCATGGCCAAACATCTACAAACTAGATTATATTTAGCTATAATCAAAATAATTATTAAATAATTAAATTATATAATTTCATTTAAATGTAGGTTGTTAGGTTACCAACTTCTGCTAAGATGAATCATAAATTAATTTTAATTTTGAATTAAATTAACTAATTTAGATTCTGAAAGAACAAACTGATCCAAACTGGGATTTTAGCCTAAAACTTCTGCTTTCCAGGCAGATTATTACTAGCTTTGTCTGAAAATATGAAGTTAAGCCATCACCTTCAAGCTAAGTTACATAAGATGATTATTTAATGTTGATTATGATCTTGCAGTGCCAATCAGACAAGATCTGGTAGTATAATTGTATAAATTACATGAATAAAATCAATAATAAAAATAAAAACAGGTATTTTATCATTTATAAAAATATATTTAATTTACATTGCTTTTGTATCATGCTTTTATACTAAATAAATTGATTTTAGGATCTCATAACCTGTAAAAGTATCCATTCCAAGAACATGGTTGCTGACCATTATTCAAAACACAAGGTCATAAAATTTCACTTTCTTTTGTTCTTGTCACCTCAACTATGCACTGACATTGAACTCTTTCTGTTGAAAGCAACTACACTCCTTAAAATTAACCAACAAGGATCACAAGCATATGCAAATACAGTATAATAAGTATACGTAATCATGCTTTATATAAATATATAAGTTATATATTTTATATATTTATATTTAGTGATAATCTATTTCTAGAGTTCAGCTAACAGAAAATTGGAATTTTTTTGCTTATNATTTTGATGATTTTATATGCACTTTTGCTTAAGAGTAAAAATGGGTACTTTAAGAAAGTTTTGTTTTAAACTGAACAACAAATGATAGAAATGATTTACCTAAGATAGGGCACCCAGTGCTGTTCTGCTGGACCCCTTAAACCACCAGTATAGAAACTATATTAATTTAAAAACAAGCTTTTAAATAAGATTTCTATATGCTTTTACATGCATAAATCCAAAAATAATCTTAACATAGAACAAAAGTATTTTACAAATAAACAGTATTTTTTAATTCCTTTCAGCTACATTACCTGATAAAACATTTCTGATAATATTTCTCATAATCAATTAATTAATTTGAGTTTAACTAATTAATTAGTCAATACGAAACATTAGCATATTAAAATCATACGAAGTGATTTACTTGTGAAAACATGAGCATGATGCATGAACAGAACAATTCTTTATTTTATAATAAAGCAGTCAAGCAAGGTATGTTTTACATTACATGTTATTCAAATTGACTGTGCAATCGTAAGATATTGAACAGTGTTCAGTCCCAAATGAATCATCATGTACAATATGGTTATGGTTAGCAACAATTTCATTCATTACAAGACTGACCCAAAATAGACAAATCAAAATGATGGAAAATGTAAAATGACACTCCAACCTATATAAATCAATGATAAATTATGATCAGAATCAAGTTCTAAGTTGTTTGTTCTTGGTAGTAGTGCACCCAATAATTGGAGTTTGAATTTGCAAGTTGTTAATTAACTATGCAGGTAATGAATGCTGAAAAGAAATAAATGTTGCAAAAGATTTTTTAAGAGAATCAACAACATATTTTAATATCAAAAACTGAAGAAGAGGTATGTCTAGAATTGCTATATACAGGACTGTCACCGTAATTCACTACTCAGTCCCGTATTACTATTTGTCCTGTTTTCTTTCTAACCTCTGCATGAGGTGACTGGCATGCGGCAGTGCCCCAGAAATAGAACATACTATTGCATATTCACATGTAAGAAACATCGATATTGGCAACACTGAGATTCTATTCAACCAGTTTATATATCTAAAAGATTATTTAGAGAAAAATAATACCAACCAAAACTATGAAAGCAACTATGAAATCAAGTATAGAAATGGCTGAAATTTTTTGCAGATACAAAGCATATTGATCAGAAGTCATGTCTAATAAAACTATGCGAATACCTATTTGTCATTCCAGCACACAATACAAATGTGGACAGAATATTTTCTGTAATGTCAATTCAATGACAAAAGAAACAGGTTGTCAGTAGAAAAAACTGAAGCAATTTTGATCTGTCATTATAATTTTAAAAAAACTTGTGCCCAATTTTATAATTATGTGAAAGAAGAAAATGATAAAATTAAGAAAGTAAAATCAACTTTAAAATATGTCTGAGCTAAAAAAGACTAGCCTTGCATCTTTTTTATTATTCTGTGTGTTCATTTTATTACATTGCTTAAACTTTATTGATTTTTTATCAGAGTAAAATAAACCATTACCTACCCACCTTTTTCATGTTTTATTTATTTAGCAGTTAAATAAATGTCCCATATCAATGCATGGCAGTTATGGCAACCCTAGGTATATCGACTGATGGTTGACGTTTGGTATCCGAGTACATGTATGAAAGAAAAACTAGAACTTCCAACACTTTCCTTACCTACTTCTAATGCAAAATGGATGCAGAAACATACTATAAATAATATAAGTTAGTTAATCATTAAATACATCATTAGACATAAAGGGTATAAAATTAAAAAGTTGAAACTAAAACTAAAGAAAAAAGTATTAATTTTTAAATTTAGTTTAAATCTTAGTAATAATTATACTATTCTAAAATATAATAAACTAGTTAAAAAATTAGGATACCCAACAATAACTAAAAAATTAAATTGGGAAAATAAATTATTAATTAATTATTCTAATTGTAATATTCTATCAAATGTAAAAAGGTCTAGATTACTGTGGTCCTAAAAAATTAATTATGAAAATTTAGTCCTTTATTCTGAATATATATTAACTAAAATAACACCAAACATTGGAAAGAACTTGAGACTTAAATTAAATAAATTTGGGGGTAATTTCTGTGTGTATGGATGTTAGTGTATGTGGGGGGGGGCATGATTTTGTTCACCCTGTTTGAAGCTTAATAATGCCTGTGCTTTTTTTGTCATATATTTCTGAAGTACTGCAGGAAATTTTATTTATTAGGGAGATTAATGCTATTAAATTTTGGTAGTTGAAGGTTGAGGAGATAATGGGAGTTGTGTGTATCTTGAGTAGGGTTGGACTTAATGACGATTTTACCTGTTAATAGCATTTACATTTTTTATAAAACCTATCCCTACTCTCAAAATTAAGCTTTTTGCCATTTTATAATAGTTAAAAATATGATATTTTGTTCAAAAACTTTTAATAACAGATGGTGCCACCAAATGTTGCTGGGAAAGTTAAGCAACTCTTTGCTGGATTTTTAAATGAGATATTACTAGGAGTCATGTTACAAGACCCTCACAGAAAAAAATAACTTTTCATGAAAATTTAATTGCAATTAAGTAGGAAATGATGCCATAAATAACAGGAAGATGAAATATGGAAATTTACTGTTCTAATATTGAAGAGGAAGGCAGTGGATAGGTTTGAATGGAGAATTCGTAGAGGTATTTTTGTCTTGTAGTGGACTGCCAATAGCTGATGATAATAAACATAATAATTCTGTATATATAAAATGCATAATTTCTCATCTATGTACTGTATATTGGACTAAATGCTCCAGTCAAAATCAAGTATAAATTATGGATTTATTCTTAAAAAGCACTAAAGACAAATCTAATATATTTTTTGATGTGCATCTTTTTATATGCAGCTTGCTAATCCAAACAATAATTAGTTTCAATTAACAAGAGTACACTGCATATGTTTTTCTTCTCTTTCTTCATTTTTTACAATTTAGTAAACATGTATTCAGTAATAATTTAATATCTGAAAACACAAATATCTAATTATTAATGTAATTTTTTAAGGATTAAAAATTCTGTGATGCAACAAGGTATATGTATAATTTTTAATTTAAATAACATATTAATTATATACTGTACTGCTTAAATATAGTTAATATATTAGATCATAATCCTATTTCTGTATTACTTAAATCAGCAACTCTCAACTTTTTTAAACTCAAAGACCAGTAAAATGTCTGAAAAAATTCTACAGCTTGTTAAGTTACATACATCTAATTTCTTTTAAACTTATGTGGATATTACCAATATCTGGAACATACTGTACCATTTTTAACATAAATATAAAAGCATGTTTTTAATAAATATAGAAACATAATTGGAAGTACAGTAATCTGTAATCTATTAAAAGTGAATCATCCCTGAACAAAGTTTTAATCTTTACTAAACTAATAAATATGATATTAATTATGTTACTACTTACTTCTAATTTAAGTCTGCCCGCAAACCACCCGTGCCATTATCACGGACCACAAGTTGAGAAAACACCGACTTAAATTTAATATAGTGGAAATATATGAAAATTAGTAAAGAATGTAACTAGTACAATTCAATATGATCCATGTATAATACTTTTGTAAACAATCTAAATCAAGACAATTTCAGCCAAGATGACATCAATTAAAGCGACAAAGGCTCTAGCCTTACCTGCACTATGTTCAAGAAGTTTTGGCATGTCCTAGCTCTCTAATTAAAGCATGGCATAACTTTTGTGTTCATTTTCTCATGACATCTGCAGCCACACAGTTTGATCTTATCTAGAGCTAAAGGAAAATAATTTTTTAACAAAATCCTATTTTTGGTCATTTCACTAATTATCATGGCCAAACAAACAAAAATACAAAAGAATTATTAATTTAATCTGTAGCATTTAGGAGATATAATCCCTGAAATCTGTTATTGGCATGCCAATAATATGAAAAACTTACACAATACTGTACTTGAACCATTGTGTTGCCGACTGTCAGCTGGATAAAAAAGTTCATTAGAATCATGTTTAGCAAATTCAACTATTTAATATACAAAAACATCCACTTTAACATTGTATTAAACTGTCATTCAACACAATTGTTTCTTTCACTAGAGGAAAACAGAATGCATAGTTATCATAACACCTGTTTAACCTTGTACGGTGTCACATAACTCACAACAATATTCACTAAAATTATTTATATAATATTCATATATAAATAATTCTTCTATTCGCAAATTTTCCTGTTTTTATTATTATTCAAGTAATTATACAGGTTAACTGAATTCTTCAACTGTTTTCAATAAATAATAGTAGTAATTGGATAACTTTTCATATACTGTACAGTACGTCATTGCACGCCATGTTGACCATACATGCAGAACATTCATTTCATTTCTTGCAATTACTCTCCTGTATAAGAGTTAAGTGACATTTCAGGTATCTCCTTAGACCTATAGTCAAGACCACGTGGAATTTATAATGTTACTAAACATAAAAATATGAGGAAACAAAAATCGATGGTTACCTCGTTAAAACCATCAATTTCACTAAACAGCTGTTCTCTGGTGTTACATTCTGCCATCTATTGATAAAATTTTGTATTAATTTAACAATGCTGTTATTGTTAATTTCATTTTGCAAGCTAAGCGCACCAATGCCAAATTTTTGTATCACAATATCTTCTTTTTGCACTACTTCTAATGAGATTGGGCACAATTTGAAACCGTATATCAAAATAAAAGGGTATAGTTAGCCACACTTTTGATAAGATGCCTAAAGAATACCCAAATTTATGGATGATTAAGAAGATAATAGTAGCCTTTGGTTATTTTATTGTCTTATTTGCACCATTTTATCTTGTTAAAATATAACTTTGTAACTATCTGCAGCGTGATTTCTCCATACAACGTTATCGAGTAAACAAGATTTTAAGAGTCAGATGAGAAACAACCCTCTATAAAAATTGATAACGTTGTGTGGTCCGACCCTTCTGACCTTTCGTCGATAGTTATCCAGACCTAGTAGCCAGATGGGATCAATAAAAACTTGTCAGATAGCTTAAAGATAGTAAAGTGTAGAGAGAAAGAGATGCACCTTGACCTCTGTTATTATAAAAGATCGATAATAGTCAGAAAATTGCACGCTTTTAAACTCGTGTTTCCTGGAAAACTCATTTATTTTTCTCATTAAGTTTTCTTGAGGCTAAACAAACACGCAAAACGGAAGATAAATTTGTTTATTTATAGAAAAATTAAAGATTTTTTTTCATTTATAAAATAGGTTAAGATATTTTACAAGAGTTTCTATAAATTCTGTTCCTCGTTTACTCTATCCAACAAGTTTTCTTGACACGCAAAATATAGAAAAATTCAAACATTTTTTTGTGCATTGTTTGCGTTAAACAAATCTACAATATAACGCTTAGTCTAGTTTAATATTATTATATTTTAACCCTCCTTTAATTCTTTATGTATCATATAACTTGCTACGAAGTATCATTTTCCTATTGAGAAAATTTATTGTTTTAATAGGTTACGAAACGTTCAAGGTTATTTGAGGCAACCAATGAAGCAAATATTGGGTCAATGAATGTCAATTATTACATTTAGGCTACCGTTGATGGTTGCTAACCAGTGTATAACTAGCCATTTTCAACACGATATAATAAAATCCTTATAAATTGCGCTTTGAAAGGAAAAACTCTTGCGTATTGCAACTTAACAAAACCTCGTTGTATCGCGTTGCATCGAAAAATGGCTAAAAAATTTTTTTAATTATATAAAAAATACGATATTTTACACGATAATTTTTTAGAAACTTTCATAATTTTTTGCTTATAGACTCGCAATTCAATATTAAAGAGGAAATTTTAAAAATTTGATTCGTCAATGATTGGTTGAGTAAGTATCCAATTAAGCATTTGACATCTATCAAAAGAGATAAAATTAATATTTTAAGCGCTGATCAAACTAAATTTTAAGAAAATAAATAAATAAAATATAAAAAAAAGTACCGAAAAAAGATTAAGGCAATATTTTTTTAATAAATTTTTCTAAAACTTTTTTCAATTTAATACTTTATTAAGTTACTTTAACTTAATTACGTAAGTAAACTTTCAAAAGATCGATAATAATAAAGACAATTAAGTAAATTAATATTTCAAAATCGATCGATTTAACAAATTTAAAAATCTAAATTAATTGCTACGTCAATGAATAAAAATGAAATTTATCTAATAAATCTCACGCAGTTCCTTTTTAAAGAAAATTACAGTACTTTTTAATTAAAATTTTCTTATTTTAATTAATAAAATAAGCTCGTTAAAATTTATTTATTTATTTATTTTTTTTTTTACTTTAAAAAATTTAAATATTACTGTTTTCAATGAAACTGCTGTAATATAGCTTCGTAGCTTCGTGGTTTTGGCATCGATCCGAAAAGGTTAATTTAAAATTTCTCAACTAAATCCAAGCTTATCTTCTTTTCGATTTTTTCTTTGTATCATCTTTATTCTATACTTTCTACTGTCTTAATTGTTTCCCTTTCATTTCTTACTTATTTCCTTGGTTTTCCCTCTTTCTGCAACTTAACCTTTCCTCTTTCTTCTTTTCTCTATCATGAGCTATGATAGTTAGATGTATTCTACGCCGATCCTTAAGCAAAATAAAGTAAATAAAACGTTTTAAAAGTTTCTAAAGTACATTTTTATATCTTTATGCGTATTTAAAATTTGTTTGATCTATTAAAAATACTTTATGCACAAACCCGGACACAGGCTGGAGGTTGCGGGTCCTCGAGAAAAAAGTTATTAGTGGGGCCAAAAAATATTTGTCAAGAAAGAATTTGTTATCAAATTTGCTTAGAAATTCGAAAGTGTGAGTGGGTTTTTTGGGTCCGAGGCCCAAAAAACCGACCTCTGAGCCGGCCTGCACAACCGTTTTCAGATGATAGCCTACTTGCATATGTTGCTATGCGATATGATTCAATACGACACGTACACGTACTTCTCAATTAACTCCGAACTTATTTTTGATTTATACTTTCTTCTAAATATCCATTCTCTGCTTATTTCCTCGATTCTTCCACCTTTCTATAGAAGCTCTTCGTTTTTATTTCCGTGATGCGCTATGATAAAGTATGTACTATATCTCTAATAATTTCTTTTATTATATAGGCTCTATTTCCTTGATTCTGTCATATTTCTACAACCTTATTATAGAAATTTCCCTCTCCTTTTTCACGATATAATACGATAACCCATAATAAAATTACGCAATAATTTCACAAACATAGGCGTATACATAGGTATTTGTTTCGCTTAACTGCTTCAGAATCCTTTGTAATATAATTTCTAACTTCCCCTATAGTTAAATCCAATTCTTCTATTGTTAATATAGATTTTTCTCTCGATTACTCTATGGTAAACGTGTAATGTTTTGTTAACTTTCCTTCGCAGCGCATGAATATTGGAAAAAGTGTTGCTAAATTCTCTAACCGCGTTTTGAAGATCATTTAAATATATCAAAACGATCTTCATGGCTAGAAATTTACGGTAAAATATCCGGCACAGATCTCGCTTCTATCATCCAACGTCTTTTTTTAGTACGTTATCAACTGGTTTGAACGTTTTCACAGAAGTAATCACCCACGTTGCACTTTTCAACCTACTAATTCAGCCTACTTCGTCCGCAGCTTTCTACCCTATTCAATGCAGACATTTCTCTACCCATCTTTTTTTTATAGTCTGAAATTATAGCTCACAAGAGATCGTGATGAGAGTTCTGCATGACAATTCAGCGACCCGAGTAACGCGCTAGATCGTGATGTTTTATGATCTCCATCTTAGATTTCTATTTTAAAAAAAATAGAAAATCGTACAAACAAGAAAGAACTGTACAGGTTTTTGGCTATATTTAAATTGTGATATACCTGTGCGCCATTTTTTAACGTACACAAGCATTCTAATTGATCTAAAAATTAGCATAACTCACACGTTTGTCACTCGATGAGAAATCAATAAAGAAAAGTTGATGTGGAATTTCAAACCCGTAAATTTCTATCCCACATAGGAATGTAGGGTACAAGAAACAATATGCAGTCACATTCCTAAGTGGAACCCCACAGGGCTGTAAGAGACAACTTGCAAGAATCCCACACCCACTAACCTTTGAGTCACTCACAAAACGGTAAAATCTGTGTAAAAGAAAAAGAAAGAAAGACCATTAATATTACAGTTTTCAGAGGTTTTATAGTGGAGAATTTATCAATTATTTAGGATTTTTGTCGAATTTTTCTTGCTAAGTTTATAAAAATAGGTTAATTGGTGTAGACTCAATAGAATTGAATGCTCGAACGCTTTTAAAATGAAATCATAACTATGAAGAAAACTCGAATAAGTAAAATTACACTGTAATCCGATTCACTGTATTTACATAATAGCAGACGGCGTAATGTATATTTAAGGCAACATTTAAGGATAAAAATTGTACAGAGAAATATTTTGAAACGAAAACAAAGTGTGAACCTTAAAGAAACTTCCGATTGACCTCCCTAGATGGAGCGAACGAAGGAAAATTTTTGAATGAATGACCTTGAGACAACTTGTTGCGTCTATTGACAATTATGAGCCAAGCTCGGATGAATGCTCTACGCTATTCATTTCGATAATAATATTCATAAATTATTAATAAAAAAATTAAGGAAAGCGAGTCTAGAAAACGAATCGGAGGGGCGTTTGGCAAAATTCGAAAATTTATTACTAAAGAAATAGGGCTTTATCCGTGATCCAGACTTCCTTCTACTCCCTACAGCGCTGACGTCAGCGAAAACCATCCCTCACGTGACCGGACGGAATGACGTCAACAACAAAGTAAATTATTGGTAGAAAGTACGTGGGGGAAATGAGACGCCCACAAAGAACTTTGGATAGTTGAAAGAATAATACCCATCTGTTATCGATATTGTTTGTGCACATCTCGAATTTTTAAACTGTAAATCGTCCCGGTGTACATTTTAAGTAGTAACAACGAGTTGAAAATCGTCTACACCACTACTACAACTGCATTGTTAGGCAGGAGATGAGGTAAGTTGCATACAGGTATGCAGCATTTTTACGGGAAAAGTTAATATTTCCTATATCGCTCTCTGTACGGGATAAAGGTTCAACCTGTTTAAGCTGCGAGTTTGAAAATTATTCGTGTTAAATGAACGAGAAGTGATTGAGTTTAATAGAGGAAATCCTAAATTACACACAGCTTTGAAGGACGTGTTTTGTTTTTTTTTATGCCTCGTCAGGTATACGTTGGCAATTTTTAAATGAAATTAATTCTGTCGAGGCATACGCTTTAAAATCTCGTTTATATAGAAATTCATCAGGAAGGTGAGATTGATTAATTTGTATTATTTAAATTCTGTAGTGAAGAATCTTATCAAAAATTTAAATTTCGGTAGAAAATTATCAGAAGAAAACACTTAAATTTTTATAAAGCAAGATGATTCAACGTGTTCTTGTTTGATCTTCGTTGAACTTTTAATCCGGTTTACTGGCATCC